CCTAACTGAATATCTTCAGAACGGCTCCAAATGACACAAAACTCATATGGGTGAGTAGAAAATGATGTAATAACGCAAAATCAAGGGCCAAGTATAAAAAAAGTGGTGTTCCCCTTTAAGAGCTAGGAGCAAGAATATGGATTATTTGCATGAGTAACTAGTTTAACAAAAACTATTTAAATAACTAATTGCTGGACATTGAATTAAGATTGTTTAGCAATGCTTTATGGAGAGTTTAACTGTAATAAATTGTTGGTATTAGAAATGGAAATGTAGCTTCTGTTTACAGCAAGTGTAAAACTCTTTCAGGCTATATTGTATGCAGGCATCCCAGGTCTCTTCCGGGAGACTCCCTGCTGTTCACTGATTCACGCGAGTCGCATGAATTATCCCGGATTTTACACTCTGCGAGGTGGTGTCTTTTTAATGCGAATGAGAGCGAGCAGGTAAAACAATAATTCATGCATCATGTGCGGATTAGAACTTCTGCGATTATGGAGGAGGTTGCTGTGAATCCTGTGCAGCGCATCTGTCCAAAGCGACGCTCTGATCAAGCAGCGCTGATTGGATCAGTCCGAAAAATAAGCCAATAAGTTTCAGTTTACTCTTTTACAGTCACCTCATTTTACTGCAGAATATACTAAAGCGCATCCATGTCTAGTGAAGGTGAAGAATTATGGAGTGCATGTATGGGGCGGCCAGGGGCGTCAGCTGGCCCAGTACTATACGGGGGCACAATAGGGCACCAAATAAAAAGCGAGCGTGCAGAGCACGGGAGGAAAAAAATGTTTGTGCAATTATTTATTTTTAAAAAGCATGGGCACAGATAAGTAATGCAAGCACGCGAGCAAATATTTTATGGCACTTATTATTATAAAGCGTCATAAATAGATTGTACAATAAGATTGTTATTTTCTGCATTAATAAATATCTACCTGAACCAACCTGAATTAAATTGGCCCACTTGTGAACTTAACTGTATATCTCTAATCCACTACTGATGAAGGCACAATTTATCTTCATTAAACACTTGAAAACTGAAAACTTGAATTGTGCAACTGTAAAAGGAAAAACAAAAAACCCTTGCAGAATCAGAATCCGTGTATCATT